AAAGAGAAGAGAGGAATTTAAGATGGAGAGATGTAAGGAGGTGGATTACGCCTGAAATGAAACTCTCCATAGAGCTATCAGTGCAAGAGGAGGCACTGGGGGAGGGGAGGAGCTGTTGTTTGCTGATCTTGAATAAATGTCAGAAATACAAACACGTTTTTGAAGTGTAAAGCAGAAGTTGGTCTCACAAAGGCATCTGTTTGCTGACAAGGCTTGTGACCACAAGTGTAGTATTGTCCTTTCCAAAGGCAAGAGAAGAGAGACAAAGAAAGCATGGGGTGAAGGAGTAGGCTGGGGTTATTTTTCCACCAATAATACTGCTAACAGGACAAGACAATGTGTTCACAGCACCAGGGCTGGATGCTAACCTGTGTTCCTGGAGTGCTGCTCTGGGGACTGTCTGCAGCAGGGGACAAAGAAGGAGCAGACTGTTGGTATTTGTAGCTGAGATGTAAACAGGCAAACAGCAAACCCAGACCCATATACCAGAATTACAGTGCAGAGACTCAAAGGCCTGGCAAAATACAACCCATCAGAAGAAACAGGGAAGCCCAAACAAGTGTCCCTATGTTATAAAAAGCAACTGTCTTTGTACATGGATATGTTTGGCTAAAAAACCCAAAAAACAACACCAAAAATGGAAGAGAGAGAGGCAGAGAAGCAGGTGGCATTCTGAATTTCACAGTGATCCAAGCAGCTGCTTTGAGAACTAAAACTGTGAAGGTGACAGTTTTGCCTTGGGGAGTGGGCACGCTGCAGTACAGAGGAGCACTGGAAGACAAGAGTTTAAAATCCATATTACTGATGTGGCAGCATTTTTGCCAAAGAGGTACATATTAGGTGTTTCAGGTAGGTGCAAAGTACCAAGCAGATTTGTTCCCATAGCACAGATCAAAAGTAATACATGGAGTAGGAGAATAATAAAAAGAAAAGACAGACACAATCCCCATTTGGATCAAGCAATGAGTCTCAACGTAAGTCTACAAAAAATATTAAAAACTCTCAGCAACCTGAAACATGAGGGTTTGTTTTTTAAATGAGTCTCTCATGAAACAAGGACATTTTGATGAGACAATTTTCTTGTCCCCTAAAGGCAGAGCAGACAACTAGGTCAGACAGGAATTTCAGACTTCTACCAAAACAGAAATGTGTTAGGTCTGTAAAGGCTGCGGCTGAGAGGAGCCTGTGAGGTATGGGTGGGATGAACGTAGCCATATATAGTATACATGAACGCATCTGTATTAGCTGCATCTCTGACCGGGGTCTCTGAACAGGGCTCTGACACAATTTATGAGGCTGTAACTGCGTTTCCCTGGTGATGTGGAATTGAAGGGGCTGGGAGGGAACTTCCCCGTTTCATGCATATCTTGTCTCCCTGCCAGGGCACCCCAATTAACCTCTGAGTCACAGTGGGATTTCTTTATTCACCCAGACTATTACCGTCTACTTTGGTGAACCCCAAGTGTCTTGCATAGTATGAGGCTGCTTCACATGGACATGGGATCAGAGCTGGGCTGTCACCCCAAAGTTTCCTTTTTCTGGGGGTGAAGGGTGCTATCCCCCCTGCTTCCCAGTCCTCTGTGGGACTACTGTAAGGATAGGTTTGGCAATGAATATAAAAACCTGAGTTTTTCACATGCATAAGTGAGTAACTGTAAACATTTATCCTTTAGTGTCTTGGCTGCGGATAGCTTTTCTGTGCTCCAACTGTCTGTATGCCATTGGCATAAACCGCAGCTTCAGAAATGGAGAAATTAGTAGCTCTTGAAGGGCTGTGGGAGAGAAAGGAAGACTCTTCCCGATGGCAGTGGGAGCAGGGTTAGGGCAACCTGAAGAGCTTTTGGCGACCTTTCTGGTAAATGTCATTAGAAATTACTGTGCACCCCTTGCACAGCGCTCTTCTATTGCTGGGTCTGCTCTGGGCACTGGGTTCCCTTCGCTGCTCAGCTCTGTGGGGCAGGGTGGACAGGTAATACCTACATTCCCTCTGCAGCCTGCAGCCACTGCACTCATGGCTCAGCCTTGGCAGCTCTCAAAGGCTAAAGCAGAAGCCTGAATGGTTCAGACTGAAGAGTCTCTACCACTAGCAGTGAGCTGTCAGTGTGGGCTGGACAGGGAACCAGACTGTTGCTTCCTTGGAGAAGTCTCCTGGAATAACTGTAATCACACATGTCTGTGGGGTTGGCTGTTTGCTCATTGAAGGCCCATGGTGGGGGTCCACCTGGCTTAGCTCCAGCCACAAGTCTTGGGTCAGCTAGGAGCAGGTCCCAAGAAGGTGTGAACTGAGAGTGTGAAACCATGGATGTGTTCTGCCCTGGGCCTGCCTATCTTCTCCCACAAAAAGTGCCTGGGTGTCCCTCACTCAGTGCAGTGGGATGACTAATGCATTGGCTATTGGTAATTCTGCTGCAAGGGAACTCTCTGGAACTTGGAGAAGTTGAGCTTATAGCAGCACCAAACAGTTGTATGAGGAAATTAAACTCCATTTACTCCTTTGTGAAGTCCTTACTGGACTCTGGCATCTGGTTGCAGCCACAATGCTTATGATCATGGCTATGGATGGGGACATGACTTGATTAGGATGAATCTGTGCAGGACATGCAGGACAAGGGCATCAGCCGCAGAGGGCAAAAATTAGAAACGTCTAGCACCACCACTATGTGCTCGACACTGGTCCAGAGGTTACAGTGCCCCTAAAGCAGCCGCCTGCGTGAAAGCCAGGGGTGTGTAGCATTCACTCACCATCATCTCCTTCGTTTTGCAGCGCCTTGAGAATGACGAGGAAGATGTTCACCAATACGAGAGAGCGATGGAGGCAGCAAAATGTCAACAGCGCCTTTGCCAAGCTGCGGAAACTCATTCCCACCCACCCACCAGATAAAAAACTGAGCAAGAATGAGACTCTAAGGTTAGCTATGAGATACATCAACTTCCTTGTCAAGGTCCTGGGAGAGCCAGGCCTGCAGCAGACGGCGGTGGCAGCACGGGGCAGCATCCTGGGGTTCTTCCAGCAAGCACCATGCTTGCAAAGCATGGAGGAGCTGACTCTGATTGAAAACTGTGGTGTCTCCTCTCCTGGCATGAGCAGCAATATAGTCGAGTGTTGGTCAGAGACATCATCTCCCTAGCAGACAATGAGACACGCAGTCTTGGTGTTAGTCGCGTATTCCCCCTGTTTTTGCAGAATCTGTGGGTTGCTCCTCTATCTATTGTGATTATTTATTTATAATTATTACTGTTTTATTTGGTATACATTTTTATTTAATAGGAAAGGAAATCCTTGGTCAGCCAACATCCTGGAAGACCAGACAGAGAACTTGCAGCCCCTGGGAACTTGGAAGGACCCACTGCTGTCACAGCAGATTCCAAGCCAGAAGGGCCTTCTGCCCTGATCTCTTCCATAAGTCAGGCCATAGAAATTCATCCAGTGTTTCTGGCAGGTAAAGAGATTATTCTCCCATGCTATGTCTAGGAAACACTACTGAGCTCAAGAACAATGACTGCACCACAGAATTTGTCCAAGACAAACATCTGGCCTCTGTAATGAAAGATTTTGAAAGATGTGACATTTGCCACACTTCTCCACTAGAGGTTCCAGGGGCTAATTGCAGTCACTCTCGAGCCTGTGAATCTTAATTCCAGCTTGATTCTTTATTTTTTTGAAAATACAAGCACTAGGCCTTGAACCTGGCAGCATCTTTCTCCATCAGACTGGAGGGATCCCTAATGTCAGAGCAAAACACTATTAAACAAAATTAAATGTTAAGTTAGTGCAAAAATGACAATTTAAAATAAAAGAAGATATAGTCATAGATGAGTTTCAGTGGGTTCAATAGGCAGAGTAAACCTCCTCTGTAGCAGTGACAGTGTGCACGTGAAGGAAGCTGGTCAGCTATGCTCTAGCTGCCTTTAAAACCCATTAAACAGGTTGGTGGCTAAATGTGTTTGTTCTTCAACAGCTGAAGCAATGGGGTAGGTCTTATTTTGGGAGGGAGGTCCCAGGAGAAAGGCCTCAGTCATTCACTGTGAAAACCTTCATGGAAATGCCAGTGAGCAGTGCCCCTTCCTGCACTGGGGTGCAGAAGCAGCTGGAGCATGTCTGGGCCTGGTAGAAGGTGCTTGGGCAGGTGCCACCAGTGCACTGCGGTGCGCCTTCGGCACAGGGCTGCGGGCCACGAGCCGTGGGCATCGCGTTCCTGAACCAGCCCTGCTTTTGCTGCTGCTGCGGGAGGCAGAACCGAGCTGCACACATCCGTCCTGTCACCTGTAAGACCCTGGTGCTGTGACGCTGGGCTGCGTGAAGTTGAGTTGACGTCTGAACCCAGGGTGGGTACCAAGACCACGAACAAGACTAGGGGCATGCTGCCTCTGTACCCAGCTGACTGCCTTTAAACTCGCTGCTTTCACCTGCCGTAGCTGAGTTCCCTCCATCTGGACACTATTCCACATGGCTGATGGAGGACAAAGAAATTGGTGTAATTGTCTTCCACTGGATTCAGTGGGTCAGTTCCCTGTAGAGAACAACAGCCACTGTGCTGTAGGTGAAAAGAGGTTTCATGAAGACGACCATTGTGGGTTGTTGCCCACAAATCTATTTAATTTCCTGATTGAGTTATAACCTATGCCAGTGAAGGTCTAGACTGCTCATGCAAGGTACAAAGCTGCCTAGAGCAACAGAAAAAATGGCACCAGGTTTAAACAGAACTGCTTCCTGATCAAATCCTGCTCCCACTGACACAGGTCCTTTTGATTTCTATCTGAACAAAGGTAAACATCAATACTTAGAAAAGGCAACTATTCACTACTGGTGAAGAATGGAGCTCCCATGTGCTAAGGCATGTTCCTGGGCTGTTTCTGTTTATCCATGAGACAATGAGCTGCCTTCAAGAAGCAGAGATAGGGTTTGTGCATGTAATATGTACAGCCCTTCTGCATGAGCTGAGCTGCCTTTTAAAGCCTCATCAACCACCAGGTGCACCAAAGAAGCCAGGGCTGGCTCCTGCTAAGCATGTATTGGGCTGTCCTATGCATCAACAAAGACCAAGGTCTGACAGGAACACAGCTCACCCTGTCCAGGGCTGGTGTTGTAGGGTACAGGTGTGCTGGTGGACACTTTTTGGCTAAAAGAAACAAAGAAAAAAACCCCAAAACTGAAAGGGTTCATGGTGATTTGAATTTTGTTCCTGAACACTGCTAATCTTCAGTTTGCTTATCCTTGCATTTCTGAGCTGTCACAGCTGAGGACTGGACTGGAGAGCAGCTGAGTGGGAATGCACTAAGAATCTTTTGCACAGTCCGTGAAATCAGTACTGTTTTCTCCCCGTCTCTGCCCACTTTAACTGAATGGGGTCACAGCCTCTTCTGCACCGCACATCAAAGGTAATGAGCCAAGTCCTCCTCCCAGCTTTCTGTTGACTTGCTGGGAGTTACAGCAGGATAAATTAGTCCAAATAAATCAGAGCACTTATTGGTGAGGTGTGGTGGTGCTATTTGGTCTATCTATCAGCCACTTACTATCCTAGGAAACACACATTACCATGGCAAGCCAAAACATCTTGTAAGCAGAGTTATTGTCCAGGGAAGGGGAAGAAAAACCTGGCAATTTTGCAACATAACATTCTTTTTAGATTTTCTGTCCTAAAAAGCTTCCCTTCTTGTTACTGCTTCGGTTCATATCAGCGTTTTCTTTGTTCTTCTTTCCATTTTGGAGTTCCCTACTCTCACGTTCAGCATGTATTTGGCTAGATCTATCTACCAAAGATTTTTTTCTTTTTTTGGTCAGGCTTTTCCTCCTGTTTTGTGAATTTCTTATCTGTATGATCATGAAAAACTACGGTGTAACTGATCACATTTTGTGATATATGATGTTATTTAACATCTAATATATTCTAAATAAATTATTTAAGAAACTAATCTTTGTCTTTTTAAACTTCTCTAAAATGTCATTTTACATTTGCATACCACTTTGTAGATGATACCAAAAACATTACAATGTAATTTCCAGTAAAGGATCATTCTACTGCTCAGCATTTACACAAGACTCTTGATGTTAGAAAAAACTTTATCAGATGATGAAGAACTACAGGAATTTTTTGGTTTTTGTGATTTCTTACCCTTTTTGGTTGAATTGCATTTCAGTCTACATGCTAAGAAGATTTTGACCAGCTCTTGAAAATGACAGGTAAATTAAATTTCTTTGTGCAACACTGTTGTATTTGACTTCCAGATATTCACAGTTCAAAAGATTTTAACCAACTCCATTGTAAAATGCAGATGTCACCCTAAAAATTTAATTTGAACTCTGATTGGAGTCTATCATGATCAGGAGCTGTTCAGACAGACACAACCTACAGATTCAGACTGGAGTCCAGGTTCAGATATAAAAGCTCATCCAAACTTGAAGGAAGCTTAGGATGTAAAGCTGCTCTTTCTGGCTAACACCTGGTGGGAACAACCTGATCTCCAGTTAAATATGATGCTGGGAGAAGGAGAGGAAGCACTAAGATGACAGATGCAGAAGTTGTGAGGAAAAGATGGGAAATCACTGGGGCACAGGGCCAATTTCAGTTTCATGCTTGTCTGGGTGTCTCACAGCCTTGACACTGCTCTATGATACATCAAGAGGGATATTTCTGCAGAATATGTGCCTGCAAAAGATATTGTCTCAAGAGACTATATATAAAAGTAATGAAATCAGCAAATGTGAGGTTCAAAATATATATTTATACCAAGCAAAGCAATGCCACTTTAGAGAGGTAATGCCAAATATAAATAAATAAATACATATTTATACCAAGCAAAGTAATGCCACTTTACAGCAAGTAATGCCAAATTAGTTCGTACACTCAGGATCAAGGGGCAATGCCTCCTCTGGAAGCGGGCACCGGTACAGTCATGTTAACATGGTGCTGTGTTGTGAGACAATAGGACCTGTGGCATGCAGATATACCAAGTCACTTGGCGCTGGCTGAAAATGTCTCACGTATGTTGCAGCAGTGGCAAATCCTTAGTATAAAGGACAAAAATGTCTCTAGCCTTAAGGCCCCTACCAAGTCTCCTTGTAACTAGCAGTGTTAAATAGAGTTGTGTGAATAACACTCTTTTTTCCTTTTATAATTTTTTTTTTGTGAGGATATGGCTGTCAATATTTCAAGGAGGACCAGCTAAGGTGGTATCTTCTAGAAGCACAAAAAGGCATGCTGCAAAGTTAAAAAAGTCATGGCTCCCTCCAACCCATGGCACGCATAACCTGCACAGCTGGTGTGAGGTGTCCTCCCATGCCTTTGTGATGCAGAAATCCCAGTAAGACATTCCTTTACTTGAAATTTACACCAGGATCATCTGAAGCATATAGCTCCATATTTCAGGACATATCACAGAATCATAGAATCATAGAATGTTTGGGTTGGAAGGAGCCTTAAAGAGCAACTAGTTCCAACTCCCCTGCCATCAGCAGGGACACCCCCCACTAGACCAGGTTGCTCCAAGCCTTATCCAACCTGCACTTGAACACTTCCAGGGAGGGGGCAGCCACAGCTTCTCTGGGCAACCTGTTCCAGTGTCTGACCACCCTCACAGGAAAGAATTTCTTCCTCATACCTAATCTAAGTCTACTCTTCCACTTTAAAGCCATTGCCCCTTGGTCTGTCATTGCCTGCCAGTGTAAAAAGTCCCTCCCCAGCCTCCCTGTACGTCCCCTTCAGGAACTGCAAGGCTGTAAGGTCTCCCCAGAGCCTTTTCTTCTCCAGGCTGAACAGCCTGTTTTGCCAATTGACGGGGTTAGCAAAAAGTATACAGACACCAACTTAACACCAGAAACAAACTTCTTTTATTCTAGTTTAAAACAGGGAAGAATAAGCAAGGTACAGAGTTAAACAGTGTAATGCACCTAATCATGACTACATAAGAGAAAGCATAGGGATTAAAAAAGATTAAAAAAATCTCCAGTTGCTCAAATACTTATAATCATCCAGATCTGTGTATCAGCTGGGGAGCCCCAGTCACAGTGAAGGATTTGGAGAACCTTTCCCTGGCAATTGGGAGGTCCTATGCAGTACATCCACCTGTCAATGTCCCTCTGGAGGCATCCCTTCCCTCCAGCTGAACCACACAGCTTGGCGTCATCAGC